CTGCCAGCTCCCCAGCACCTCTGTCCTCCCGACCCTGTCCTGCAGCACTGGCAGTCCCTTGGGCTCTGAAGTTCGTCACGCTGCCTGGTGGGAGGCTGGGAACGGCAGGGCTGGGAGGGGATGGGTCATCACGGGTCGCGAGATGGAGGAAAGGCGCGTGCTGGACTCGGTGGGGTGGGAGGGCTTGGGATGGCACCGGCCAGCTGGCCCTTGATGGCGCAGAAACAACCTAAAGAGCTGTTTTGAAAGGCTTGTGCTGCCAGGGGGGAAGGTGCGCCCAGTGAGAGGGGCTTTCGCTGCTGGGAGTGGAAGTCGTGGGACTGCTGCTCTGTTCCCCTGAGGCCGCAGCCCATCGCGGTATCCTCTGGGCCGCAGGACCAGCACTGACTCTCCATTCTCTCCGCCTCAGGTTCCTACAACCCCATGACACTGGGCATGTTCACACTGATGTATTTCTTCCTGGCCTGCTGGACCTACGGCCTCACGGTGTCTGCAGGGGTCTTCATCCCCTCCCTGCTGATCGGCGCTGCCTGGGGGAGGCTCTTTGGCATCTCCCTGTCCTACCTGACCAAAGGCTCGGTGAGTCCTTGGTGGGAAGGGGTGTTGGGCAGTGGGAGCCACGGTGCCCAGCCCCCTCCCTCACTGCTGGGCAGGCAGCGTGTGCATGGAGCTGGCTGAGAGCTTGGCACAGCTGTCTGGAGTGGGTTGGCTCCTCACTTGATGTCTGTCTGAGCTTTCCCATGTCCTGGTGGAGCCCTGCCAGCAGCTGGGCTGTGCGGGCAGCCTCAGGCACTCCTCCCTGCTTTGGAGGGGGGTTTGGGGGCCAGGGCACTGCTCACTGTCTTTGGATGCCCTGGAGCCAGCAGCTGACTCGTCTCCTTCTCTCTCCTGTGCTCAGATCTGGGCTGACCCCGGGAAGTACGCCCTGATGGGCGCTGCCGCACAGCTGGGTGAGTTCCCCATGGCAGGGTTTTGGCCACCTCCTGCTCATGTCGCGGTGAAGGTGGCATAGGAAAAAGCAATCCCTGCTTCCCTGGCACAGCTTCTTCCCCAGCTGAAGCCCAGCCTGGCTGTCAGCTCCCTAACAGCCCTGCCACACACAGGCAGCGCTGGGGCACTAGTGAGGGCTGGGCTCATCCAGGGCAGCCCTGCCTGTGCGGGCAGGCCTGGACTGCTGTGCAGAGACTTGGGGGCCTCGAGTGTTCTGCTATCCCCTCGCCCCATGTTCCCCTCTGCCCTCCCACCCCAAACCCCTTGGGTCTCTCTCGCAGGCGGGATAGTGCGGATGACGCTGAGTCTCACGGTCATCATGATGGAGGCAACGGGCAACGTCACCTATGGCTTCCCCATCATGCTGGTGCTGATGACAGCAAAGATTGTGGGAGATTACTTTGTGGAGGTGAGGGCTGGTGTGCTCACCAGCACATCGTGAGAGGCCGTGGGTCAGGGTTGGTGATGCTGGGGAGCTGTGGGAGGGCCAGGGCAGGAATGTGCTCCCTCTCGGAGGTGAGCTGCTGCCTGGCTGTACCTATCGGCATCTCGCCAGGCTTCTCCTGATGGCTCGGCTCTCGTTTCAGGGGCTCTACGACATGCACATCCAGCTGCAGAGTGTGCCCTTCCTGCACTGGGAGGCTCCGGTGACGTCCCACTCCCTTACGGCCAGGTAGGTGGGCTGGGGGCTGCTCGTCACTCCTGGGGTGGCAGCTTTTGGACCACGTTGTTGGCTTGAGCTGATGGTGTAGGTGGTGGCACACTTTGGTCCCAGGAGCCTGCTGTCCCTTGGTGCCACCAGCCCAGCTCCTTCCCCAGCAGAGCCTGTGGCCTGCAGCACATTCCCTTCCCATGTCCCTGGCAGGTTTTGGGGACAGAGGAGGTATCAGGGCTGTGGAGGCGTGGGTATTGGGAGGATATTTGGGGCGTGGGGCTGTGTTTCACACTGAGCCTTCCCTGCAGGGAGGTCATGAGCGCTCCCGTCACCTGCCTGCGGAGGATCGAGCGAGTGGGCACAGTTGTGGACATCCTCAGCGACACCTCCTCCAACCACAACGGCTTCCCGGTGGTGGAGAGCAACCCTGACGCCTCGCAGGTGGGCTGGGTGCTGCCTGTGAGGGGTCAGCCGTGCAGGGGCTGGCGGTGGCGTGGGCCCCTCGCCCTTGTCCCCCCGCCCTTCCCAGCCCCGTCTGACACACAGTGCTCTGTCGCAGGTGGCAGGACTGCGGGGTTTGATCCTGCGTTCCCAGCTCATCGTCCTGCTGAAGCACAAGGTGGGTGACGCTGCGTGGAGGCCGGTGGGGCTGTGTCTGAGCCCCGGTGCCCTGTCCCACTGCTGCCTCAGGCCCCTTGCTGCCTGCCCTGCTCGGGAGATGCTGGCAGAGGGTCCCTGTCATCTCAGGGGACAGGCTCAGCTGAGGAGATGGTGGGGGCTGCTGTGCTGGGGTTACCCCAGCATCATCCTGCACCCCACTGGGCTCACAAACCCCGAGTGAATGGGAAACACGCTGTTCTTCTGCAGATGGTCCCTCTGCCCCGCTCCTGCCCTCTTCTCTCCCTGCTGCTGTGCATTGCCCTGGCCCCAGTGCCTGTCGGTGCTGTGGGATGGTCCCTGACAGTCTCTTTCCTCACCAGGTTTTTGTGGAAAGGGCCAACCTGAGCCTGGTGCAGCGGCGACTGAAGCTGAAGGATTTTCGGGACGCCTACCCCCGTTTCCCCCCCATCCAGTCCATCCACGTCTCCCAGGATGAGCGTGAGTGCATGATCGACCTCAGCGAGTTCATGAACCCCTCGCCCTACACCGTGCCTCAGGTAATGGCCAGGGACCCCTCTGCACCCCAGCATCCTGGGATCGAGGGTGGGCGATGGGTGCTGGTGGGGGTGCTGCAGCCCACGAGCCCCGCTCTGCCTTGCAGGAGGCATCTCTGCCACGTGTCTTCAAGCTCTTCCGAGCCCTGGGGCTGCGGCACTTGGTGGTGGTGGACAATCGCAATGAGGTGAGCCCCCGCCCGTGCGGGCAGCCTGGGCTCCTTGGGGCGGTGGGGGGACAACATGCTGCCCTTACCCTCCGGCTCTGCGTGCCAGCATGGGGCTGGAGCCTGTCCCTCTCCTGGCAGGTGGTGGGCATGGTGACCCGCAAGGACCTCGCCAGGTACCGCCTGGGGAAGGAAGGCCTGGAGGAGCTCTCGCTAGCCCAGACGTGATGCGGGGCAGTGCTGCCCAGCAGAGACACGCCCTGGCCCCTGGGAGCCGGGGCCCCCCTTTTGCGGGAGGCAGGGAGAGGCCTGGGCCAGCCTGTGCAGGCATCGCGGTGCCCGGGACACTGGCATGGCCGTGCTGCCCCGGCTCTGCTGCCCGTCACTGCCTTCCCACCTCTGCTCTCCCCTCTTCTCACCCCTTTCTTTGCTTCACCGAGGGATCAAAACACACCCTTGGCTCTGTTAGCTCCTGGCGTAGGCTCTCCCTGAGGACTGGGCGAAGGCTGGAGTGTGCCAGAGGCAGCAGAAGTGCCCTGCTGCGCTGGGCACAGTCCTCTGCCGTGGCACGTGGCCTCCATCACCTCATGCACCCAGCCTGGGCTGTGTGGGACCTAGCCCTGCCCCGGCCCCTGCCGCAGGGCCTGTGTGGGGAGCGGGAGGGGACATGGTGGTGGGGCTCCCTCCTGCTCCCAGGGCCCCCTGCCCTGTGCTCCTGCTGCGTCAGGCTGAGCCCTGGGGCAGACACTTGCATCTCTGGCTGGAAGTGGAAGAGGGGGCTGTGCCCTGCTTGGCTGTGCAATAAAAGGGTTCCCATGGTTCAGCAGCTGCTGCCTCTTGCTCTTTCTTGGCTCCCTTGGCCCCTCTGCCCCCAACCTGCCTCTGGGGAGACACCTCTGGGCTTTGGGGCAGGGATGGGGAGGGGAAAGCTGCCTGCTCTGGGACGGTGTTGGTCCTGTAGCCTGTGCCCCTCCTGCCCTCCTCTCACCATTGCTGCTGCCTCTCCCCTTGGCCTGTGCCAGGTACCCCAAAACCCACCACCAGTCCTGGATCTGGCTGGGGGGAGGCAGCAGAGCCTGCACTCCCCTGGGTGCTGAGGAGAGCTACAGCCCTGGCCCATCAGCTCCCTCCTCTCCCACCATCCCTGCTCCTCACCTTGGCATTGCTCCCTCCTCACTTGGGCAGGGGCAACCTGGTGCCACCAGGGGCTTTTGACTGCAGAATACTGTGCTGAAATAAAGCCTGTTTGTACTTTTATGGGGGTGCTGCCTGTTTCTTGCTTCCCCTCTTCCCCTAGTGGCACTGCCCAGGCTCAGAGCCGTGTCTCTCAGTGTCCCCCTAGGGCTGAGCTGAGCCCCATCCCCACTGTTGGTGCTGGGAGGGCACAAGCTGGGGGGGATGCAGCGGTCCCTGGGTGCTTTTCCTTTTCAAGGCCAACAAAGAGCCACCACAAAGTGGAGAATGCCTCAGCTGGGCGCTGGGAGCCGCCTGGTCGAGCGGCGGGGGCTGTGGGGAAGGGCCAGCCGCTCTCCCAGCACCCCGGGCTGGCCCCGCTCTCTCCTGTGTGGGTCCAGTTCCTCGGCGCTGCCCTAGGGCAGGGGACCCACGGGGTGCAGCGGGTCCCCGCGGCAGTGATGGGTCCCCGCTGGGTGATGGCAGCCGGGTGCTTTATGAGGCCCTATGTCGCCCTTTGCCCTGGTGCAGCTGAGATAAGGGGATGGGATCCACCAACTTGGGCCGCAGAGTAAACACGGGCTGCTGGCTCCTGCCGGCACCGCGCTTCCCTCTTCTTCCTGCTGCCAGGGTGGCCCGTGGTCCCCCGAGGGCCACGCCAAGCAGCAGGGACACCGCAGTGGTGGGTGGCAAAGGACACGGCACGCTCTGGTGCCTGGCAGGAGTCATTTATTCACTCATCCCATCACCGGTTCTGACCCAGCAGCTCCAGGTACCCCGGTGCTGGCACTGGGGCTGCCAGGTTTATCATTAACTGGGCGGCACGTGGTGGGGCCGGGGGCCCCCGGGGCCGTGGTGGGGTCACAGCCCAGCAAAGGGCTCGGCCTCCAGCTCTGGGTGGCCCGGCTCAGGTGGCAGCTCCCGCCCGGCGCCTGGCAGCTCCAGCCCCGGCTCCACCGTCCAGTTGGCCAGGAGGTCGCTGAAGTCGGGGGTGCTGGTGTGGAGGAGGCCGACAGCGCCGGGGCCCGGCTCCCTCCAGAAGGAGGGCGGCAGCTTCCTCCGGTGCATGGGAGTGATGTGGCCGTATTTCCTCTCCAGCCGCT